AAGTGAAATCAGAACACTTCCTCATGGCCTGGAATAAAGCGACATACAAGCGGAAAGTGCGAGAGGCGTCTGCAATGATCTGTATTGCGATGGAGGACTCGCAGCTTCCGCTGGTCCGATCGTCACTCAGTGCATTCGAAGCAGGGAAGGAATTGGTGACGAAAGTCGAGAGTAATGGTCTCGCGAACAAACTTTTCTTGCGTCGTCGGCTATTTGCAGTAGTCATAGAAGATGGAGACGATGTGCTTAAGCACATCAACAACTTGCGGAAAATCTCCGAGCAGCTCGACGCGGTCGGTGAACTGGTCAGCGACGAAGATCTTATCATCACGCTCTTAAGCAGCCTTAACGACTCGTTTTAGCTTTTGATAACGGCAATCGAGTCGCGTTCGGACGAGATCACTTGGGGACTAGTGACGAAATGTCTCATTCACGAAGAACTAAAACGCAAGGATCAGCACGAGGGCGTGTCTGCGTACGACAAAGTGTTCTACATGAACGAGAAGCGGACAAGAACTTTTCGGTGAAAGTTAAAGGAGCGTGGAAACACTGCGGCAACACGGCCATTGGATCGCTAATAGTCCTGTCCGGATTCAAAATTTCGATAAGGGGTACTCTAGGCGCAACGTACAAGCCTTTCTTGCGCGCGACGACTTTCTTTTCAACTGGCGTGATGACAGTGACAATCTGTTTATGACCCATATCGGTGCAGTAGGAACCGCCCCGGATCGAGTCAAGGATTATGAAAGAATTGGCTGATTAAATCGGGTGCGACGCAGCATATGACGCACTAGAAGTAGGTACTTACCAGCTTTCGATTGACCAAGTCGGTCAAATTCCATCTCGCTGACGATGGCACCTTGAAAACATTCGGGTGTGGCAATATCGAGATGACGATGCAAACTACTCGTGGTGTGCGCAAGGGTGTCCTCACAAATGTGTGATTGGTACAAAGGTTAATCGCAATATTTTTTCGAACGCTCGTTTTGCTCGCGATGTTGAACCAATCACACTTGACATAATGAGATGTGTCGCAACACTGGATGGCTAGGCCTGGACCATCGGAAAGGGTATAGGCAAAGGCCTGTTTCAGCTTTAAACGCCACGTACTAACGCCGCAAAATTGACCCCGACTGCAACCGAACTCGTCTTTGTTGACTCGACTCGACTCGACTCCAATGTCAAAGTCAAAGTCATACTTGTCAAACCTTCGACTTGGTCACATTAGCCATGGCGGACTCGACAGGATCGTAAAGAACAATCTAGGAGTTAGGATCGATATCGGGTCCGTGAACAAGTGGGAACTTTGCAAAGGAGTGCTGTCGGCAATTAGAAGCGATCGACATTTTACGATTTAACAACTGCGCGCCATATTGGTTTCCTTGATGTTGCGCATAGCGACGTTTGAGGCCCTATGCAGACGACAAGTTTTTGCGGCAAGAGATTATCTGTGACGTTTATCTACGACAAGTCTCGTAACACAATCATGCACTTGATGCCAAAAGGTCCGAAGTTGTCGACAAGTTCGCGCTCTACATTAGGTGTACCGAGACCCAAGCTGGTCGTCGCGTCAAAGCTATGCGAAGCGACTACGGCGGCTAATACAAGTCGGCCGAAATGTCGAAATATTGCGCCAGCCATGGGATCATCCATCTATTTACTCCGCCGTAAACACCACAGCTCAACTGAGTTTCCGAGCGCATTAATCGCACACTTGTCGAGTTCGCGTGATGCATACTCGAGCACGCAAAGTTGTCGACCAAATATTTGGTCGAAGCTTTGATGACAAAAAATGACTTGCTCAGTTGTTGTCCAAGTCGCGCAAATATTGAAATTAAGTCGCCTTTCAAAGTTTGGAATGGGAACTCATCACTTCTTGCGACCTTAAATACTTTCGGCTGTCATGCATACACTCACGTGCTCAGCAAAAAAACGCCCAAAGCTCGACGCTAACGCTTTTAGCTGTCGTTTCGTTGGTTATTCCGAGCACGAGAAAGCGTATTGGTTCAAAGATATTGCAACGGGTCGCGTTTTTGTCAGCCGCGACGTCAAATTTTATAATTTAAATATGTTTGACGACGGTCTGCGAGCCGTTAACAAATGTAACAACGCAGGACTAGTCGACAGTGATCGGGTCACCACAGACGTAGACCTAGACTTGAAGTCAAATATGGACAACATTGCCAATCAGGCTGATGACAGCGAATACTTTACAGGACGCACCGACCACATCACTGGCGCCAAACGTCACTGTCGCTACCAGTCGCTCGGGTAGGTGACCGATACTCCGCGGCCAAAACGATTTTCGGCTGCGACTCTGCTGAAGACATCGTCGTTAGCCAACCTATCGAGGCCGCACTCTGCTCACGTCGTGCATTCAGTGGGAGATTTACCGACAATCCTTGCGTCTGCATTGGAGCTTGACGACACGAGCAAGTGGCATGAAGCGTGCGAATCGGATTACGACTCGTTGATGAAGTACGACAATAGGGACATCGTGCCTTTTCCCCGTGGTCGCAAACTCATCGGAGTTAAGTGGTTGCTCAAGGTCAAGGAAAATCAGAATGGTGAAGTTTAACGTTACAAATTCCGACTCGTGGCTAAGGTATTTGCTCAGCAATACGGCATCGAATACAAAGAAACCTTTGCGTCAGCCGCAAAGCTTACCTGGATCTGTTTTGGAATCGCACGCGCTGCCAAGTACGACTTGCATGTGCGTCAGAGGGACATCAAGACCGCATTTCTTAATGGAGACTTGCACGAAGATATTTACATGAAGCAACTTAAGGGGCTGAAGATGCAAGGTGTCCGGCCGACTTTGTCTGCAAGTTAAAGACGTCACTATACGGACTAAAGCAGTCATCGCGAATGTGAAACAAGACCATCGACGACTTTATGATCAGTCAAGGTTTTGACAAATACAAGTCTGACTACTTCGTATAAATCATGCGGAAAGTCGAAGATAGAGTCGAATGCAATTTGGCATTCGTCGTGCTTTACGTAGACGACTTTATCATTGCGTGCAACTCAGCGGCAAAACTGTTAATTATCAAGAGCGCACTCAACAACCGTTTCGAGATGTCGGATGTGGGCAAGCTCAAGTTTTGCCTCGGCATCGGAATCGACCGCGATCTCGATGATGGCACAGTGTACGTTCGACAGGCAAAGTATTTGCAGTCGATCCTGGCCTAGTTTGGGATGCAAAACTGCAAGCCCGTAGAGACGCCTCAAGATATAGGTCTGCATCTAATAAAGTTGATGTGCGAAAGCGGATGCAAACACGAATGGTAAATGATCAACGTACCATACCGCCAAGAAGTTGGATGCTTGATGTATCTCATCATTGCGACTCTATTTGATACTGCAGATGCAGTACGAGTTCTCATCCAGTTTGCATCCTATCCATTCCCGACGCACTGGCAAGCACTGAAGCGTGTGTTTCGATACTTACAGTCGACTGCAACACTCGGATTCAAATTTTGCAAGTGCTACGATGATGCTCAAGGTGGCGGACTCCACGGTTATTCGGATGCCCACTGGGCTGGCGATCACGAATCGCGTCGCAGCACAAGTGGGTACGTCTCTGTGAATATTGACCACTGCGTGAATTGGCGTTCGCAGAAGAACGGTAAGTTGCACTTTCATCGACGGAAGCAGAATACATTATGTTGTCCGAAGCAGCCAGGGAAGCGATCTGTTTAAAGACGTTTGCAAGCGAGCTTGATGAACCCAGCGATGATGACTCGATATTGATCGTCGAAGACAACCACGGATCGATCGCACTGGCCAATAAACCCGAGTTTTACAATCGTAATAAGTATATTGACATACGCTACCACTTCGTGCGCGAAAAGGTTGGAGACGGTCACACAGTGCTGGAGTATTGTCCGACGCAAGATATGCGGGCAGATATCATGACGAAGGCAATCCCCGCGGATCAATTTACCAATCTGTGCACCAAGCTGGGGATTCGAGACGCTGCTGAGTCGATTGGAAGTGTTGTTGGAGATGTGACTCGTTGAGCAAGCGATAGAAGAATGGAACGCTATGGCGACCAGTAGCGCGCCTATCAGCTGAGTAATGCACGTGGTGGCGATGACTCATGCGCGCCTATCTCATGAGTAATGCACGTACAGTGAAGCCTCCGTATTTTATTTTTATCCTATTTAATAATTTCCCATACATAATAAAAATTTTGAGTGCCACGTTGTGCCCAGGCCAAATTTTAAAAAGCTCTTTTAATTCTTATATATAAAGCCAGAGAAATTTTCCCAATTCAAAAATTAAAAACTCCTGCCGAGGGACCACTACAAAAAATTATCCAGAGTTTGGTGCTTAAGGAGTTTTTGCTGAAGCTTTCCCACCTGATCCTGCATCTTCTGAATCATTCCTGAGAACTAATTTCCAGTCTCCTGCTAGGTAGTATGCCTTTAAAAACGCCTACACGTTCACCAAGTGGGAGACGTCACTGCCTGGCAGGCAGTGCTGGTGAACCCCGGCACACCAGAACCTGAACGCCTAACTTATTACTGCATCCACTGTTCACCGAACTGGTGAGCTCTCACTTGGTGATGCCACACCATTCCACTTGAGCTACAAGCTCATGTGCGGGAATCATGCCAAGGCGTTCTAATCAAAACATGTGGCACCTTTCAGGTTAATTTCTACCCCCTAACTCTGCTACTTAACCATTCCCTTTTTTAATCAAAATTTAGCAGTCCCAGCTATACTTAATAAGGGAGACTCCAGTGTAGTCGTGATTACTCATGCGCGTAGTGGCAATTACTTACGCGCGCCTATCTATGAGGAATGCGCGCAGTATCGATTACTCATGCGCGGCTATACGATTAGTAATGCGTATTGGCGATTCCTAATGCACAGTCCGATGATCCAGTAGGCATATAGTAGCGAGAAGAAGTTGCGAACGAAGGACCTATCTATTTACCTTCACTTTGCAATTTGCTAAACCAAAAACAACACTGGCCACCCCGTTCATAAACATGCATAAGCTCTGCCTTCTGCTCGTGGCCTCCGGCGCCTTTTTTCCCGTTAAAAGTGTCGGATCGATCACCGGCGACGGCCAAGCGGTTGTTGCCACGCCCAACGCGGGGACTGTGCCACGCGTCGACGACGCTTCGTCCGAGTCACCAGAACTGTTGCGGTCACACGACAGAGCCGTGGACAAAACCGCATTGACGACTGCTGATCAAGACCTAAAGTCCAATGGCTCGACGGTGTCCTCGTCAGAGCGTGATCTTGAAGATCGAAACGCGTTCTCGGGTTTGGCACAGAAAATAAAACAGGGTATTTCGAGGGGCGTGACGGCCGCGTTGATTTATCTTCCTTCGGGTTCCCGCCACGTTCTAAAGTCGTGGCAGAAGCAGAAGTTAACCCCCGTCCAAGCAGCTCGAGTCATCGGCATCGATCGAAGCGGCGTCAGCCCGAAGAAGCTAAGGCTCTGGATTCAGCATGCTCGCTGGCATCAAAGCACGACTGGTAAGGCGCTCGACTATGACGCGGCATACCGGGTGTTCAAGGGCACGCGTGGTTCAGACAAGGTATTCGAGCGACTTACAGCCCTCCGCAACGTCAAAGATGCGGAAGTTGGGGGGCTGACTGCGTATATGTACAACAAGTTAGCTAAAGAATTGACACATAAGCTTGGCAACGAAGCTTCCGGGTGGATGGCTGGCAGATGGATGAAGATGGGGTTGCACCCCGAAAAAGTCGCCAAAATGCTTGGCAAAGGCGATGATCTCGTTTCGACAGGGCTGTATTCTGCAGCTCAATGGGTCGGCTACGTCAAGATGTTGCAGAAGAAACACTCGAAACTTGCCATTGATACTGAAAAAGCAACGAATCTTTTGGTCGGCCAATTGAACAAGAAAGCGAAGGTTCCTGCTCTTCGCGCTGTCTGGCCTGACCATCCGATCTTCTCATTAGCCAAAAAGAAGCGACGCACAGGCTGAATCCCGTCGTGGCGGGAAGATCGAGGCAAGTCGGGTAGATCGCCGGACGTCGTTCAACGCTGAGTAAGGCATCTTTGAACATCGGCCTGGTTGACGTGTCTGCTTGTGCAAGTCCGCGAAAGTTGGAGCGAGGAGAAGCGTAGACGGTGAGATTGGAGCCACGTTGAGGCGGTCGCTCTGATGTGGTCGCTCTAATGCGGTCGCTTTGACGAAGGGGCGTGTATGGTAGATAACTAGGCCATTCACCTGATCAATAGACACATGCGTGGCGTGTTTTAAACAAAACTCTTGTCCTAGTTGAGTGTTTTTGTTGCAAGCTTTCGTGCGGGAGGAGCAAGCGTTTCAATCGACGCCAAATATGGCAGACTGACGAGGTATTTACGCCACAATGCCGAGGTCACCCCCCTTACACATCCTCAAGTAGGCCAAGTGAGTCTTTCTTCGCGTCCGCAGCCATGAGCGAAGACTTGGACGACGATGTCGTGACGACCGCGCCCACGCCGCCCCCTTCCGCCCACTCTCTTCACCCGCATCTCCTCTCTATTTTGACCACTGGAAACTTTGCATCGCTCTCTCCTGCCGTCGCAACGGCTGGTTCAAATGACGCTCGGAAGACCCTCTTGACTCCTGTTTTACCTCTTTTCACCCGTCTCCAGAGCTCCCGACGCGCCGCCGCTACGCCGCAAACACTTCCCAAGCCCACACCACTGGACGCGACGCTGCTGTACGTCGAAAATGCGTCGACATGGCGTCAATATGCCCGAGTGGTTGTCGACCTGACTCCTGCTACGCTTCAGTCAGCTACAAATACCGACTCTCAGCCCGCGTTTCGCCGCTTTGAGAGTGGATCAGCAGTCGATCGAGTCCTGATTGTGCTGTGTGAGTGGCTGCTCGCAGCTCCTGGCAGTTTGGAGTCCAGCGAACTCTTTTTGAACGAGATTTACCAGGACGAAGTGGTGGCTATCGTAGTGCAGGCACTAGCTAGTCCCACGCTGCAAGCACTACAGCAGTCTATTGCTGATCCATTCGGTGCTCTTTCGGTCGCCCGGAAGGCCCTGGCCGTGCCGATAGGTCCCGTGATGCTATCGAGACTAGCTGTCAATGATTCTTCTGAGGTCGAGACGCTCATGGATGCCGTCATCGCGGTCATGGTGGAGACGACAACGGGAAACAAGACCATTGCACAACAGGAGCAAGACGCGCTGAGCACGACGCCGTTGGTGCTAAAAGTGCGCGACGTGCTTGTATCGAGCGGGCCAAGCTGACGCTGTTGTATGCAGCGACGCTGTGTGAGAAGCTGAGTCGCCAAACAACGTCGCTGCATTGTGTCGATATGGCGTTCGAGCTGCTGACATCGTTCCCGAGTCGAGAGGATATGCGTGTGTTCATTTATCAGTGGTTGAAAAGAGATGGTGCGCCGGGACCAGCACTGTGGACGTATGTGCAGCTTGCATGTCGAGAAGCTACAGCAGGAACGAGCGAGTTTCAGCAGTTTGCGGTCGCCAACTTGGCAAAGATCTGGGATGTGCTGCTAGACACGCTTGACAGCCGCAACGCGAGAGTGCTGCTGTACGATTTGACGACGACTTTGGCTGTGTGCGTTGGACTGCAAGTGCTTGGCAGTTTCCCGGTATTGGAATCAGATCGTATCCGAATTCTGCAGGGCCTTGATGCACTTGCGCCATCCTCGTCGCCACGCTCGATAAGCCTAGCATTCATTATTGTGGTGCTGTTGTGGCAACCGTTCGCTCCATCGCTGAGTAAGGCGCCCGGTCAGCGCGATGAGCACACTAAAAGTGCTGTGACTCTATCTCAGCAGGTGCTGGTGTCACTGTTCCATGCACGACAAGCTGGCGCTGGACCGCTGTTTGTGGTATCAGCGGTGCTGTTCTACACTAAAGCTCCTGCTCTTGTACCTTTCCTCGCGTCGGTGATTGGTTTTGATGGAGACACACGCGACTCTTTCTCGACTTCCGCATCAGGGTGTGGCATTCAGGTGCAGCTGGCGTTGCGAGCGGAATACCTCCATGTGTTTGGGGATGTCGTGCTTAAGCCTGTCCTGACGGAAAGTCTGCTGGCTCGCGAGGTGCTGGCATTTCCGCCAGTAGCCCGTATCTCGGCATCAGATGCAGCGTCAGTAGGCTCCCAGCATGATTTGACCTTGCGTGGATTGCATGGGTTGCTGTGCGAGAAGTCTTTCTTGCGGCATCATCATGCTCATCGGCTTGAAAGCTGGATGGCTACTCAGATCGGCGAACATGCAGCATTGCCTGTTCACCCTCTTCTTGTCAGCTTGCTGCTTGAGTGGGTTGAGAACTATGTGATGGCGTTTAAGTACCCTATCGCTCAATTCCCTAACCGGTATCAACTTTCGATTGTTCCGTTGCGAAGCTCAACCTTGACAAAGTGGCTGGCGTCTCCGCTCTTAGGTCAATCCTACAAGTGCAAGAGTGGACGAAAAGCTGAATGGATTTGGGCACGTGGTGTATTGGGGCTTGCGTACGCATTGCAGTTTGATCAGCGCGTACGTCGTGCTACGATGGTTGCTGGCAGCAAGCTGAGCAGTCTGGCTTCCACTTCATCGGTATCCTCCAATGCGTCGGTCTCAGCTGGAATGGGTCCGGGAGCTGACATTTGCTTGCAATATGACCTTAGTGCATTCCCGTTGCGCAACATTGCGACTCAAGCCTTCCTTGCACACTGAGACCAGCGTAATATTTTCGAGTTCGTTGCTCCTTCGTTGCTGCGACTCATGATGGAAGAACACCCCCACCTTTTCGATGCTGTCACAGCTTTGGCACCATCAGGCTCGACGTTACAGTTGTTCCTCTCGCTTCTAGTCCCGGCGATCAAGCAGAGTGTGACCTGGTCAATAGCTGGTTTCGTCGTCATCGCAAATGTGGTGACACGCTCGATGTTCGCGTAGAGCAGTCGCCAGTGTCGTTGACAGCAGTCCATCTGCTCTTGGCTGGGTTACAGTCGGCGCCTATTGACGTGGTGGTGCATCAGTTGCTTGCGCTAGCTGACGCTTTCTTGCCGTATGACATCGTGTCATCGCAAATCTCGTTGCCGTTGCGTTGATATTAGTATTGCCACCGACGCGACTGCAGGGTACAAAACCGCTACGAAGCAAGACTTTCACGTGTGCGAAGCCTCGCGCGCGAGTGATCACCAGGAGAACAAGCAACAGCAGCACATGGCGGCAAAAGTGCGGGTCAAGCCGTCGCATGCATGGAGAGATGGAGAAGTAGAGATGGGCGACTTGCCAAGGCCACGTGCAGTGGTAACTGAGGCTGCTGGAGGTTCAAAGCAGACAGAACGTGCTCCGATGTCCTTTCGGATTGAACAGTCGAAGGTCCAGTCAGAGCTACACACTGAGCGGCAGACGCTGTTGCGAGCGAAAAAGACACGGTTGCGGGAAATGGTAGAGACTGAACGAACAGCTGCGTACAATACGCAGCACGAGCTGCATGGCATGCGGGATGGGCGTCTTGCTCCGGGCAACATGCCTGTCAATGATATAACGACAGGTACTGCATGCTGAGTTCTCGACAACATTGAAGCATGTTGGAATGACTCGAACGCTGTTTTACTGTCGCAGGTGCTGCTGCATTGGAGATTGTGGATGAGTTCATGAGAAGCCCTCTGATGGACAAGTTCGGGTGAGAAAAAGCTTCCTGTATCATGCAGTATGATGCCGTCGGCGAGGTTGAGTTTCGATTCAGATTGCTGGTGCTTAAGCATCGACGTTGTGTACTACCAAGCGTCGATCCCGAGCGTCATTCGTTGCAGAGCCAGTGACGCCGTTCAGCGGCGCCCACCACTGGAAGAGACTCGTGCTGCACAATGACATCAGACAAGTACTTTGTAGAATGCACGGCACCGATTTGACCGCCGATCAAATGAACCGAGGTGAGGTGAGGTGGACGCTGTCATGGCGGCGATCTTCGATATGTGCTATAGCAGTGACGAGGTGCCATGCAAAGCGTTTTGCTAACGTGCCTCTGCTTGCTCGCTGGACATGGGACCACTCGCAGCGACCGTTGACTTGCAATTGGTGCAGGACGCATGAGTATGTAGCAGTTGCTGCTCGAGGGTCGTGTTCAGAGCGCACGCGGCAAATTAGTGAACATGGAGCCCCACTTGCTGCAGAAGGAGAGCGCGATGGACTTCTTGTTGGCGAAACAAGAGCTGATTGAGCTGATCAAACGTCAGGAGATCGAAGAAGCGTTGCAGTTTGCAATCGAAAACCTCGCACCATTCGGTCAAATGAGCGTGAGTGGTCACACGTGGTGATGCTGTAGCTGGATGGAGAAGAATGGTTTCTCATGGTATGAGTGATGCACAGCCCCATTTTCTCCGTGAGATCGAACAGACAATGTCACTTGTTGCGTTCCAAAATCCGTCCGAGTCGCCACTGGGGCATTTGCTGGAGCAATCTCAACGCTGCCGTGTGGCGAGCGAAGTCAACTCGGCGATCTTGCGAAGCCAAGTTCAGGAACCCGGTACGTGATGAAGTACGCATCGAAGTCAATGAACTGATTTGTTCTTGTACTTACGTCACTGCCTTTCTGTCGATCGGGTGTCGTGTACAGAGCCCATGCTGTCCTCGATGGTCCAGCAATTCCATTACATGGATGAACAGCTGGAAACTAAGCTCAGCCGTCGCTCGCATGGCATCCGAGTTGACGACTCGACACGCTAGACGACTTGCGACAGTGTCTTGTTTCACGGTCGCCTCAAGCGGCACTCCCGTACAGAGTGGTCGCGATACGCCGGTCCCGTTGTGTACGAGTGCGTCATTGCATAGCGTTTGTGCCAGCTGGTCAATCTTGCAAGTCAACTAATCTCAAGCTACTCTGCGCCATCACTTTGTTTCTTCGTAAAGCTGTTCGATTGCCACCAACCGCCTCGTGAGAGGTCCAGCACGATAGGGGAATAAATCAGCAGCAGCAAGTCGATTGATGTCAAGTCGCAGTCGGATGAGCACGCTCATCACACCTTCCAGTTGCTGACAAGCCTGCAGCTTTTGCTTGCTCGTCCTCCACTGTGTGTTGAGACGTCGCAAGTATTGCACGATGTACCTGAGCATTTGCGTTTCTGCAGCAGCAAGGAAACAACAAATGAGTGGGGAGGGGCGTCAACATATGAACAAGGGGGTCCAAACTCGTACCATCGGACACGAGGAGGTCAAGCAGCACTGAATGGTCCCATCCAAGCGTCTCTACTAGATCCGCAAACAGCAGGTCCGGGTCGAATTCTGCCGCTAGGTAAGTAGCAACTGACGGGTACGATTGAGCAAGGACGGGGTGACTTGCACACGTTGTCATCCGTGTAAGGTTCTGGAGAACTTCAACCATCGTGTCGTCTTGCTCAACCAGTACCGTCCAGACTTGCTTCCGACTCACTTGCTGTTCCGACAGGCAGTGCAACGCGTTCTTCGCAGCCGGTAGTCGCCACGTCTCCGCATCAACACACCGTCTCCGCAGCGACTCTTCCATCCATGCAGCTCCCACTCGACTTACGCAAAGAAGCCATTGCTGCAGAAAGGGGTACCGTCCCGAGCTTGCAACGAATGACGTTTGGCCGCTCACTGTTTGGCTTTCGTCTGCATGGAGCAGCTGCAGTGCCGTGGACGTGCAGGCCGACTGCACCGACCACGCTAGACACGTCTCAAGCCACTGCGCATACACAGCTTCGAGACCGCTCGCGTCCCGTTTGCCACCGTCATCTTCCTGTTCTAGGCCAAGCCACGAAGTCGCGAGCGCTTGAAAATCGCCGAGCAGCTTCAAGACTGCACAGGACACAAAAGCCGGTTGACTTGCGTAGTCCATTGCCATGCAAACGTCGTCGACGAGTGCTATCACGACTTTGCCCAGTGCGACTCGAAAGTGATCGGTGCTCTCCAAGTGGCAGACGCGTTTGACGATGTCGCTCATCAGCACAAGCGCCTCGTACTGCACCGAGTTTGGAGCGGCTGTTGCTCGCGCGACCTCGAGACCATCTCCGGAGCCGTCGGCTGGTAAGAAAACACTGCGCACCATGGCCCCCACCTGTCGTATCGTGGCTGCAACTGCCTGTCGATACGGAAACGCCAGGCCACATTCTGACTGATTGTCTCGGTCGTCTTCTCCCAACAGCTCCACAGTTTGCACAGTCAGGAGCTGCCGCAGCAACTGGAAGCGGAACCCGCTGGCCTCTCGTCCCCACCCCGTCGCTGGTGTCGTCGAAAGAGCGCTATTTCGTGCCACCAGTGTGCCAACAACCACGTGGACGGTCAGTACGCGCCACTATCTAACGGAGTCGTGTGCTAACAACAAGTCTCACGTGATGACACGAGTCACGCATTGCGTCTCGACGATGCCACCGTCCACGAGGACCTTCCGCAGCTCTTCTTTGGCTGCATACGCCAACAGGACGTCGTCGTGATCGATGTGCTTGATGAACGTGTCTACTTCAGTCTGCGTGAGGTCATGACGGCACCGAACCGCAGCTGCAGTAGCCCTAATGCCGCGGAGTTCTACGCCCCACTCTGGCATTTGATGCAGCACTTGGTATCCACCAATCGATCACGCGGCGATCTTGAAGAGCTGCAGAAAAGTGCCGTGAAGGCCATTGCAGCTTGGAAGCGAAGCCCAATGGAGACGTCGCTTTAAATCGGTAGCAGATGATTGACCAGCAGCGAAAACTTTTGCAGATACACGAAGAAGACGAGGAGGAGGAAGACGATGAAGAAGAAGAAGAAGATTCACTTGATGATTGGATACAGGTCCGAGTACGCGACAGAGTGCTATACACCTGCGAATGACGTCGTAGCCACTTCTGCGGTCGAGACTGTCGTTGCTGCAAGCCCACGAAGCTCCAGCTACTATAGCGGACACTGTGCGTTCCGACAATTGGATCCCTACATTATCAAGTTACGACTCGTCCGGTGTGGCGCTCACGTGAGCTCATCCGTCACTCCAGCGCATCGAACGTTTGCCATCGTTCGACCACTCCTCACTTTTGTCAGAAGGAATACTATGCACCAGACGTAACGGCGCTGTTGTAGCAGCTGATCGTGTCAAAAGCACTTGCGCACATCGCGAACTGCTACTTGTCGCCTGGAGCTTCTCGGGTCCCACCAGTTCCGATGGAAAGCAGCCCAATTCAGTCTCTCCCAAGCCACTCGGACTGTCCAGGAGCGACCCGACAGCGCGGACAATAAGCACACCCGCTGCCACGCAACGCACGAGCGGACAGGAACAAACGTCGACGTGGTCGCTTCTTCGTACCGAGAGGAACGATCACCAAGCGACACAACGTGACTCGACATGCAACAGCACTGCAACTTCAACTAGACCTCTCGTGCGAGTGCCACGTCACTATCGCTCTCCATTCCGTTTGTTGCTCGGGTTTTGGCTATTGCTAATGGCTCACATTGGACGGTCGTCCGAGGCGGTGGAGCGCTATTTGCGCAACTTTAGCGACAGAGAGATCAATCACCACGAGATCCTGGAGATCACGCTCTGCTACGGACTGCAGTGCCTGTCAAAGACCTTTCCAGTCCGCGGCCGCAGCATCACATGCAGCGAATTACGAACTATCACAGGTCAGTGCGTCCAATCGATGTAACGGGGTAGCCCGTTACATGAGATTGTCATTAAAACAATCTGACAATAAAGAATATTACGTCGAATATTCTTTTAACAATATCACAGACATGGTGATATTGTTGAGATGACTGAAGGGTCTACTCATTGGTTAATATCGTGATGATATCAACCCACCAATCGCTGCTAGACGCGCGCAATGGGTGGTGAGTAGACGTCGTCATACATTTAGTTATATTGGTATAATCAAGTCAGGACAACAGAAGATTCAAGGAGTTATAGGACTTAATTATATTAATACAGTTTTACTTATACCAGAGACTAGTCTGACTACTTAGTCTCCTTTCCTTCCTCTGTGTTCTTTCAACACCTAGCAGGGCACTGTAGACCACCGTCGTCAGTGGAAGTATACTCCGTACTGGTCAACCAGTACGTAGTCAACAGTGCCTCGTTATAATCGATCAATTTTTTGTCGAGTTCCGCACCTGCCGATCCACCAGTATTGCGCTGGGATGTTGCATCAAGTAGACCATTTTCGCTTGAGTCAACAAAAACTATATTCATTAACTCGCTGTCTTTGTATACAATAACCTCCAAGTGCACCGCGAAGATGTCAATTACCTTCCCGCTAGATCGATGACGTTCTTGCTGCCAATACCATTGACGACTCTGATGTAGCGGAGCCACACAGCTCTTTAGGTCAGAGGAAGACTCTAATGCTCTACGAGAAACTTAAGTTCAAAGAACTCGACTCAGTGAGTCGACAAGCTCATGGAGCTTGCGGTCCCTATTCCTTGGGATCAAACGATTTCGAGAATCACATCAAGGAGTGCTCAAGAGTAGCAAGCTTACAAAGCGTTTGCTAGACTATTGTTATATCACAAGACGCCTCAGGGAGGCACGTGTCTGTACGGATCAATATGGGAAATAAACTTAATTTCTTTTTATCGAAAAGAACACCTCAGCCGAACGCAGTTAATCTAGACGCTAATGTTCTGATTATTACCTCCTAAAGACCCCGTAATTTGGTGACTGACGCACGTCAGTGTGGTGGAGTAGTGATCGCTCTTTTGA